ATGACTTCAATCAAATAATTACAGATTTATCACAGCTTGATGTGAGTATTAAGGATGAAGACCGAGTAATGATTATGTTGTGTTTACTGCCTTCCTCCTATGAACACCTGGTGACTAATCTTACATATGAGAAAGAAATTATCAAAGTTGATGAGATTACTGCATCATTGTTAGCTCACAACCAGCAGAAGAAGAATGCAGGGGAAATGTCTAATGATAATAGTTTATATGTGAAGGGTAAATCAGAATCATGGAAGGAAGAAAGAGAATGAGAGTTCTGAAAGGCGAAATTTCATATCAAAGTCCAAAGACAAAAAGACGATTCATTGCTACAAGTATAAGGAGTCAGTTCATATGAAGAGAGATTGTCCAAAACTTAAGAAGCTGATTGGGGAGAAAGGTGATGCATCATCAAAGTCTGTAAATGTGGTGCAGAGTGACCATTCAGATTACAGTGATGACGATATGCTATCAGTTTTATCAACTTAGTTCAGGGACGCATGGATTCTTGATTTAGGATGCTTTTATCACATAACCTCTATCAGGGAGTGGTTTACTTCATACGAGTTAACTAATTATGACTCGGTCTATTTAGGTGATGATATATGCTGCAATATTGTTGATATTGGTGACTCAGAATTCAGATGTATGATGATAATGTTAAAACATTATGAAATGTTAGGCATATTCCAGATCTGAAGAAGAATTTAATTTTCATGGGCACTTACATAAAAATGGTTTTATTCCTAAGACAGATGAGGATAGAGAAACCATACCATCAGAATTGTTAAGGGTGTGTTGATTGTGATGAAAGAAAAGTTAACTGCAAGTAATATCTACAAACAGTTGGAGAGTACAATTGTAAGTAGAGTTCATTCTGTGGAGTCAGATGATGATAATACAAAACTATGATATATGCGTTTGGGTCATCTTAGTGAACGTGGGATGGTAGAATTGCATAGAAGAAAATTGTTGCATGGTGTTAAAAATTGCAAGCTCGGTCTTTATAAGTTTCGTGTTCTTGGAAAACAAACTAGAGTTAGTTTCATGGTTGGAAAGCACAAAATTGCAGAGATTCCTGATTATGTGCATTGTGATGTATGCGACCCTACCAGGGAATCGTCATTCGAAGGATCTCAGTATTTTGTTACATTTATTGATGATTTCTCCAAGAAAATTTCAGTGTATTTCTTGAAGCAGAAATTTGAAGTCTTCTCTAAATTCAAACTGTGAAAAGCTGAGGTGAAGAACCAAACTGGCAGAAAGAACAAGTACGTGAGATCTGATAATGACACATAGTACACAGATTCACAGTTTCAGAAGTTCTGTGAGAAGCATGAGATTCAGAGGCATTTTTAGTGCGTAAGACACCACAATAGAATGGTGTGACAGAAAAGATGAACATGTCCTTAACTGAAAGGGCAAGATGTTTGAGGCTGAATGCAAGACTTTCTAAGAGTTTCTGGGCAGAAGGTGTGAATATGACATGTTATCTCATCAATAGATCATCTCGGACATCATTGGGTGGTAAGGTTGCAGAAGAGGTATGTACAGGTAATTCAGTTAATTTCAATCATTTACAAATTTTTAGTTGTCCTACTTATATGCATATACCTGGAGATGAAAGATCAAAACTTGATGCAAAATCCAAGAAGTGCATCTTTCTGGGCTACAAGAAAGACGTGAAAGGATACATGTTTTGGGATCCGATTGCAAAGAAGATGGTAATCAGCAAAGATGCAATTTTTTATGAACAGTTCATGTTACAAAAAAATCAAGATAAGGTGCAAGGGAACAATTCCAGTTCAGATGCAGTGCAGATGGATTTAGAACAACAATCAGAAATAACTGAGAGAGTTGAAGGTTCAAATTCAACACTTGGTTATTCCTTTCCAAATGATTTGCAGAATTATATTCTAGCCAGAGATAGACAGAGACACACCAATATAAGATCTCCTAGTATATTGGGTAATGAAGACTTGGTCTCTTGTGCAATTCTCATCAACAGTGATGATCCAGACACCATTCAAAGAGCTATCACTAGCAAGGAGAAAGAAAAATAGATGGGTGCAATGGTTGAGGAGATGGAGTCTTTGTCAAAAAATCACACATGAGAGCTAGTTCAGCTTCCTGAGAGAAAGAAGGCTATTGGGTGCAAGTGGGTGTACAAAAGGATACCAGCAGTATCAGAAAAAGAAGGGGAAAATTTTAAGGCTCGACTTGTAGCAAATGGATTTTCATAGTAGAAGGGGATATATTATGATAAAATCTTTTCTCCTGTGGTCAGACATACTTCAATCAGGGCAGTGCTTGCATTAGTAGTTATTTGATATTTGCATTTAAAGTAGATGAATGTTAAAACTATTTTCTTGCATGGTGATTTAGAGGAGCATATTTACATAAGGCAGCCAGAAGGGTTCACTCAACCTAGACAGGAACATCTGATTTGCAGATTAAAGAAATTGATGTATGGGTTCAAACAGTCTCCAAGACAATGGTACAAGCGGTTTGACTCCTACATGATTCAGAGTGGCTACAAAGTGATGTGAGTATGATTGTTGTGTTTATGTGAAGATCCTTGATGATCGCTCTATTATTTTTTTTGCTGTATAATGATTGCTGCAAAGACTATGAATGATGTCTGTGGTTTGAAAACGTTATTGAGCCAGGAATTTGACATGAAAGACGAGTCCTACGAAGAAGATTCTTGGAATGGAGATTTATCGAGATAGAGGCTCAAGATGATTATATTTATCTCAATGAGGCTATGTTGAGAAAGTGTTGGAAAGGTTTGAGATGAGCAAAGCAAAGCCTGTGAGCACTCTATTGACAAATTATTTTAAGCTTTCTTTAAAATAATGTCTTAAGACAAATACAAAAATCGAAGACATTGAAAAGGTTCCATATGACAGTGCAGTTGGCTGCTTGATGTATGCAATGGTATGTACTCGTCCTAATTTAGCTCATTTTGTTAGTCAAGCCTGCAAATACATGTCTAAACCTGGAAGGCTGCATTGGGAAACAGTCAAGTGGATTTTCAGGTATCTAAAGGGCACTGTAGGACATGGAATTATTTTTGGCAGTCAGCATGATGATCATTCAGTTGTGGGGTACATGGATTCAGACTATGCAGGTGATTTGGATGACAAACGGTCTACAACTGAGTATGTGTTTACTCGTGGTGGAGGGCCTATATGTTGGAAATCAACAATTCGGTCTATTGTGACATTATCTGCAGTTAAGGCTGAGTACATGACACTAGCTGAAGCTGCAAAAAAAAGTCTTATGACTTGCTGGACTAGTAAAGGAACTGGGTGTTGAGCAAGATGGAGTTCAGTTGCATTGTGACAATTGTGACAGTCAGAGTGTTCAGAGTGTTATTTATCTGGCTAAGGACCAGGTGTACCATGCGAGAACCAAGCATATTGATGTCAGGTATTACAAGATCAGAGAATTGATTGTTTTTTGTGAGATAAAGTTGTAGAAGATTCATATTGATGAAAATGCAGCTGAAATGTTGACCAAGCCAGTTACTATCAACAAGTTCTTGCATTGCTTGGACTTGTTGAATGTTTGTAGTTGCTAGAGAAGCATGGTGGCCTAACCAACTTCAGTGTGTAAGAAACTTCATGATGTATTTCTCTTAAGGGGTGTATATTCGCCAAGTGGAGATTTGTTATGTATGACTCATATGCCATATAAGGGACAAATGCTGGAATGAAGCAGAGCGGAAGAATCTATCCAAATCGGGGGAGTTTCCTTATGTGGGTTGGGGATGCGTGGGCAACACCCGCAATACGGTACATGGATAATTTGGTAATTACATATTGTATTCCAGGGTTTTTTGGTCTATAGGGTTATAATAGGCATGTTTATAACCCTAGGTATTATTTTGTATTTTGTACTTTTTCTGAAATTAAAAGAAAGTCGTCGCTTTTCTCCCGAGGGCGTAGGCATCGTTGCCGAACCTCGTTAAGTCTCTGTGTTCTTCTATATTTGCGTCGATCCTTGATTTTCTTCGCCCTAATTTCTCAACAATATTGCTGGTGTTTGGCGCATCTCTGTTGTTGAAGAAGCGAAGGGATGGCAAGATCAAACAACTGCGGAGGATATTGATCTTGCAGTCAGAGCTACTTTGGAGGGTTGGAAATTTGTCAATGTTGGTGACCTCAATGTATGCCTCTCCTTCCTCTAATTATATAAAATTAATAAAATATGCACGCATCTAATGGGAGAATTAAATTAAACATGGAATACCGGGCCTTGGCAACAGTTGCAGCAGACATTATGTGACTTCGTTGCCCACTAATGGAGCTTGGTGCCCGCCTACTAATGGAGCTTGGTGCCCCTCAATCTCAACCAACAAAACTATCATGTGATAACATCTCGACCGTGGCAATCCTAATAACCCGGTCTTTCACGCTCAGACCATTTTATTTGAGATCATCTTCAATGGGATCAAATCTGAAGGCCAATCAGGAGACATCCTTACTAAAGCAGTTAAAAAACCCAAGTTCAACTATTTTCGATCCAAGATTCAGGTTCACTCCAAGAACCATCATTTTGAAGGGGATCACAACAGAAATATTCTCAGATATGTTCTAATGCAACATGTGCTAAGGAGAAGCAGGTGGATCATAGCAGAACTTTTGCCATAATTAATTATGCGTCACAAAATACTGAATGCAACGAATACTCAGATTTGATCAACAGCTACAGGAAATCTAATTTGATTTTCGAAAGTCCAGGTAAGGCACGTTAGGAGGACAACAAGCTCTCGAATGCGACCATAACATACATTAGTATCTCAGTTTATTCGAGCAATCTATTATCAGGCGGTTAGTGAGTAATCTGATCTCATTATTGGGACAGTTTACCAACTCCACCGAGTTAGCAGCTGGAAAGAAAAAGAGAATGATCCTATTTCCACCTGAGTTTTAAAGCTCTTTTTTGGGAGCTTAGATAAATCTCAGAGTTATATAGTTAGATCATGGCACATATAAATAATTAAACAATATGATTAAACTAATAGTCATTACATTATAAGATGAGACGACATTTATCAAAGTAATCATCTCTAAACAGAGCCATTAACTGACAAAAGGTCCTGAAGATAGCAGTAGATTTTTAAAATTTCTAAAATAAGGTTGAACATCCTAAGTTGCCTCATCATCATCAGCTGCTTCTGCAGCAGCAATCTCAGAATCAAGCACAGCTATCAGGCTTTCGCTGGCATGCTTTGCAACTGAGATCATGTCAAGCAAAACACTTGGGTCCAAGCCAGTACCACCTCTTTTGGTCAGCCCACAAACCCGACCATGCCTATTCACAGAAACTGAAACTGCAGAGCTCATTTGAGACTCCTCTTCTGATGTTGCGTCAACAATGTAATGCTGGCCCACCTGGAACGATAGTCACTCAGCAATCCGTGTTTCAATTTGATATAGAAATTTCACTACCTTTTCGTTATAGTGATCATGAAATGGAAAGGAATGCTGGAGCAGAGAGCAAAATTTACTCAAAAATAAATCAATAATAGGTTAAGCAGTACCTTTGTCAGAGTCACTACAAAAGGTACCCCGGATGTATCAAACTGCATGAACTCCTCATCACTTACATCAACCTCTGGCTGGTCCGCTGAATCTCCAAGAGAAACGCTTACTTTCGGGATGGCTGTATTGCTCAAGGCCGCCTACCACACAGAGGTAATTTACAATCTAACTTCAAATATTAATTTAAATAAACATAATATAAAAAAATGCCAAATACGTGAATGCAAGCATTGATAACAAAGAGTATTCTTAAAAGCAGTCATTTTCATTATCTTCATCATTTGCCTATAAGATTTCTCAAAGTCCTGAATATCTCGTAAACAAAATTTCAGAGCTCTTTGATTAAAAGTGCATTCCAACTAAATCAGCTGTAAACGTGCATCAATACTATCAAGGAAAGATTAGGAAAACAACCTTGATGGCAGCAGCTAGTGTATCTAACAGATTGCCATCTGAACTTATCACAAGTCCATCAATATAAAGATCCCAGCAAACCTTACCCTCAACGACCATCAGTGATGAGAGATCAATACCAGCACCTGGTGCACACAAAAAATAATAATAATATAAATTTAAACATGCCATGTGTCATAAAATACTACACTAGTAACCACAAAAAGCTATCAATAAAATACTAGACTAGTAACCAAAGTGACATCCTTCATACTCCAAAAAGGCATAATACAAGGAGGATATTCTAGTCTTTGTGCAAAATTGTACACCTTAATATTCTTCATTATTATCAACAATGAATGAACCATATCACGTCTTTCTAGATCAGCAAATGGACAGATAATCGGATCCTTTCCCGACAAGATCTGCTCGATTGGGTCGAGGTTAGGTTGGGTGATCTGATTCCATGTTTTCCATCGGCATAAACCCTTTTGGTTAATTACTACTCCCGATTATCCTTTTTTATGTAGAGGGTTCAAGCTCAAAAAGTCCTCCAATCTGTATGGAAGAAGTCCTAGTCAACACCATGCATCAAAGATTGAAAACATTTGACTCTGATGCCACATAATCTAACACTTTTTAAAGTTTGTGAATAGAGATGCTCCAAGAAAATTGCAAAGCAAATAAGGGGATTAGAGAAAATTGGGTTCTTTGTGAAAAAGAAGTGGCCAACAATATTCCCGTGAGTTTCTTGGCTAGTTGTGATTATTAATTAATAGAATTTCACTAGGTCCTAACCAACCATTGTGAGCTCCACAAATTCACACCCGACTCTTTTGGGAGAATTTGTGCTTTTTTGTCAAATTTGTAAAATACAAAATAAATTTTATATAAAAAAAAATCACCCGGAGAATTTGCCCTCAATTGCAAGGACTTTATGATCTAACTCTAAGTTTTCCATAAATATAAGCTCATATGATTAATTACTTCTGGTGATAAGTTTTTACTTCAAGACTGGGGATTTAAGAACTTAGCGCAATAACTTATTCTAAAAAGAGAAAAATATAATATTTTTAGCTTAAGAATGGACGATAAAGGGAAAGACAATGAACCCGATTAAAAACTTATGGTTTCATAGTTCCAGATTGTCTTTGATCTTGATCTACCTAATAAGATAAAGATAGTTGACCCAACCTGACTGAAAAATCATTCTTAGCAATTATGGGTTACGAGTGTCTATTTCCGAGTACTTTCAACATCCTGTATACATTAATATAGTTTGTTTCATGATTCAAGCTATGCGTGCATTTTTCAAATGATTTTTATTTTTTATTTTTCCTTCCTCTGATGCATCAAACTGATTGAAGGAAAAGAAAATCCTTCTTGAGCGATTTCAACAGTCAAAACTTGTTTGTGTAGTCCATTTTGCAATTCAAATGGCACTCACAAACTTTTAATTTCAAGAAATGTCTATGAATTTGGTTTCATAAGATGCCTTCCCTTGTTCATAGTCATTTTATACTCATTTGGTTGAGTTGGGGAGCAGAAAGAGAGGTCAACGCTTTGAAATCTTGAAACCTTTTTTCGCTTATACATTTATCTCATACTTCCCTTCTGCCCCGATAATCCATACAAAGAATGAGAAGCCAAGAACTATTTGGGAAGATATGGAAGTCAGCGGAAGAGTGGAATAAATCTTCCAAGTATGCAGCATGTGCCTAAGGAAGAAGGCTTCCTATTTTCAGTCAAGAGAGACAAGTAACTCTAAGCGGGAATGGATGAAAATACATATATAAACTATCATCACACTTGTTACAAAAGAAATGAGCTCTTGGGATTTCAACTCAGTTAAATTATATCCATTAAAATGGGAAGTGAAGAAGGGGGGAGAGCGCCAGAGGTAGATTTAAGGCAGTTCACTAAAAACACACAAATACATTCATGAGGAAATAAAAAGGTTTCAAATTAAAGCATGCATCAGCATAATTATTCATGAATGTTACAATAGTCATCATATATTGAAACAGATAAATTTTATTAAATTTTCATATACCTGTGGAACAATTAAAGTAGCAAAATTCCAGCAATTGAAAATTGAAATGATATTATTTTTCTTTAAACAAACAAGTAGTGTACCTGCCCCGCTTTTACCACCCAGTAGGCATCTCTGCAGTACAACAGAGAGCTCAGCGGATAACTCTTCGCCACCTCTTCCCTAGGAAGATATATTAACCACAAATTAGTGAAGAGAACTTTAAACTTCTGTAGATATGCTCATGGATTGGGTTTCTGATAAAATATTAGGTTGGAAACCAATGAAATAAACTGTAACTTGGAACAATGTGGAACGTTTGCAAGAGGCATATCTAATAAAGCATCTAATAACCAAGAGACTGCTTATCCAACAGCTCAATCCTAGTAATAATGGAAAAAGGGATTTGTATTTCTTGATTCAAATTAGTATAAAGAAGAGTGGTATTATACAAATATTCTAAGATTTAAAATAGGAAAGAAAGTAAATTAAGAGCAGAAATTAAACCTAGACATCAGCCTATGAAATCGGTGTTAATTACACCACATCAGGGCAATTAATGTCATTGATTCATTTCCAGTTTAACATCCGGGCAATTAATGTCATTGATTTATTTCCGGTTTAACACCCCCCTCAAGCTCATGATGGTATGGTGAACGTCATCTTGAGTTTGCTCAGTAGATCTTGAAACCGTGTCGAATGATGAATTTTGGTGAAGATATCAGCTGTTTGGTTAGCAAAGGAGACATGAATTAAAGATATGGTGCTTTGAGTAACATGATAACGAATAAAGTGACAATCAATTTCAATGGATTTAGTACGCTCATGAAAAACGTTATTATGAGAGATCTGTATAACACTTCTATTATCACAATGAAGCATAGTAGCAGAAGATTGTGGGATGCCCATATCAGATAACAACCAGTGTAGCCAAAGTAATTCAGATGTGGTGTCAGCTAGAGCACGATACTCAGATTTTGTGTTGGAAAGAGCAACGCCTGTTTGCTTTTTGTTACGCCAAGAGATAAGAGAATCTCCTAAGAAGAAGTCATAACCATTGGTAGAACGCCGATCTGTGGGATCACCAACCCAATTAGCATCATAGTAGCTAGATAACACCAAAGAGAAGTGAGCAGAAAAAAGTAGACCATGAAAAAAAGTATCTTTAATATATCGAAGTATCCGAAGAACTGCAGAAAAATGTGATGAGCGTGGGGCAGACATAAACTAACTGACTGTCAACAACACATGAGATATGAGATCGGGTAATAGTGAGATATACAAGACTTCCCACAAGTTATCGATATAGGGTAGGATCATCAAGAGAAGTGTCATCGAGGGGAGTAAGTTTGCAATTGAGTTCCAAGGGGGTTGATATAGTTTTACTATCAGTAATGCCCGCTTGAAACAGTAGATCAGATGCATACTTAGCTTGAGAAAGTTAATAACCTTTAGAATTATGAGAAACTTCAAGCCCCAAAAAATAATTGAGATTGCTAAGATCATTCATTTCAAATACTGACTGAGAAAATGTTGTAATTCGGAGATACCAGATACGTCACAATTCACTGTGTCAGGATTTAGAAATAACTCAATCAAGGAGTCAATGTGGAACATGAAGTCAATATTGACAGCGTAGTGAAATTTGAAAAGGGATGAGAACATGATATTTTCCCAGAAGATAACATGACGTGATATGCGAAGTTTATTTGCAATGGGATCCCAACAACGATACCCTTTGTGCTCAATTTCATACCCAAGAAAATAACATAAACGCGCACGTGGTTCTAATTTTATCCGTTCATGGGGTTGTAAAAGAACAAAACAGACACAAACAAATGATTTAAGTAGGGGATAATCACGAGGCTTCCCAAACAATTTTTCAAAAAGAGATAAATTTTGGAGAACTAAGGTAGGGGCTCGATTAATGATGTAGACTACAGTAAGAGGCTGCATCTAAGTGATTTAAGTAGGGAATAGTCATGACTAATTTTGTCTGTTCATGGGGTTGCAAAAGAACAAAACAGACACATCCAAATGATTTAAGAAGGGAATAGTCAGGAGGCTTCCCAAACAACTTTTCAAAAGGGGATAAATTTTGGAGAACTAAGGAAAGAACTCGATTAATGCTGTAGACTGCAGTAAGAGCTGCTTCACCCAAATTTTTTCTGGACAAGAGGCAGAATGAAAAAGAGCACGAGCAGAAACAAGAATATGACGATGTTTTTGTTCAGCTCGTCCATTTTGTTGGGAGGTGTGAGGACAAGAGCGTTGAACTAGGGTATTTTGTTGATTGAGAAATTAGAGTAAAGAAGAATCCTGATATTCCATAGTGTTATCCGTTCGAAAAATTTTAATAGTAGAAGAAAATTGAGTTTTAATCATATTAGCAAATGAAGTGTAGATTTTTGGCAATTCAGATCGATTTTTCAAAAAATATATCTATTTAAAACAAAAATAATTATCAATAAATAACACAAAATAACGAAAGTCATTTATTGAAGGAATAGGGGCAGGACCCCAGATGTCCGAATGAATTAAACCAAAAGGACTATTTAAAATTAAATTACTAAGATTAAATGACAACGCTGGTTGCTTAGCAAGTTGACAATGTAAACAATTAAATGACTCAAACTTTGTAGATCCTAACAAGCCACGTGAAATTAAAGATTGAAGTTTACTGGCTGATGCATGACCAAAACGAAGATGTCATTGGTGAATAGAATAGTTGGTAGTTGTAGCAGCAGACATAAATTTTTGGGGAAGATGCAGAGAGACAAACTCAAATAATCGACCGATTCTGTGACCCGTCCCAAGAATATGTCCTGTTTGTGGATCCTGTACATGACAACATGAAGAGGAAAAATTAACATTTAGTCCTTTTTCACATAACTGGCAAATTGATGGCTAAGTTAGGGGTACAATAAATTTCAGGAAGACTGAGATCGGAGGTAGATGCATGACCAGTGTGATTGATATTCATTTTACAACCATTGACAGTGTGGATCGGCGGCAAAAAAAATATTGGTGATTTGGTGGACAATAATTTTACATTGTTAGTCATATGGTTACGACAGACAGAGTCAAAAAGCCAATGAGGATTGCCCGGAGTGACAAACATGACCGTAGATAAATTGGAAGAGATAACTTGTTTGAATAATGCTTCAATATCACTCATAGTGCTAGCAGCAGAGACGGAAGTAACGTTAGGCTTCGAGATGGCCTTGAGTTCCCCACTTTTTGGTCGTGAAGGACGAGTCGGGCAATTATCAAGAATATGAGCATGAGTACGACAATATTTGCATTCAACAGTCGGATAATTAGCAAAAACACGGCCAGTTTGTTTGCAATTCTTACATGTGTTGTTGCCAGATTTATGATATGAGGGACGAGTTGTTGCGAGTGCAATTCCAAAATTCGAGTTTTTGTCAAGATTTCTTGTACAGTCATATCCAATATAGGAAGAGGATGACGGTGCAGAAGAGAGGCTCGAACTACTTCATATTCAGGTCGGAGAGCCATGTGAACTTGAATAAGATAAAGATGATCTTCACTTACTTTCGCCTGGATAGTTGATTCCAAATTAGTTGGACTTGAGCAAGAAAATCATTCACAGATTGCCCAGATTCTTGTTTTAGATTATGAAGCTTAGTCCATAACTGAAAATAATGAGCAAGTTCAGTGGTCCGATATCTATTGGTCAAGAGCTGTAAAATTCATTTGCAGTTTCATAATCAGCAAATTGAATGTGAATGGATGGAATAGAGGTGTTACGAAACCAAGTAATAATCTGATGGTTTTTGCTATCCCAGTCTTCAAGGCGGTCAGCAAATTTATCATTAGTTTCGTTTTGTTGTTTGGTTGACTTATTGATATCTCTAGTAACAATACGCCAAAGCTTGCGACCGATCAAGAAGTTTTTCATTCATTGGACCCATAAATTATAATTTGAACTAGTCAAGATTGTTGCAATGAGATTTGAAATATACGATCTCTCTATTAGAAAGTGGAGGAGACAAAGAATAAAGCTTCCACAAACAGATGCCCAAAATCACACAGGAGAAAAAAATAAATTAAAAAAAAGGAAGGGAGATATATTGAGACAGAACAGTGAGGTCGATCGCAAAAGAGAGGCACAACAAGGGTGGATCGCGTGCGGCTATGACAGAGGGGAATCGCGACAGCAAAGAGGACGAGAGCTCAGACGTTAGTTTCAGGTTGAGCCGCAGCTGAGGGAGGCAGGTTTGCGGCTCCTTGCGCGGTAGGGCAGAGAGGTGGCCGCAGGGAATAGAGCTCAAGCGTGCAACCTGGGATCGGGCAAGAGATCCTGGAGGTTGTCTTGGCGATCTCGTGGGAGTAAGACAACACAGAGACAGAAGGCAAAAGGTTGCACTAAAGGGGAGGTTCAGCTCTGGCTCGAGGACGGGGCAGGGATTAGGTGCGGAAAGATCTAGGTCTTTGATACCATAATAATGAAAAAGGGGATTTTTATTTCTTGTTTCATATTAGTACAAAGAAGTGTGATATTTATACAAGTATTATAAGATTTAGAATATGAAAGAAAGTAAAATAAGAGCAGAAATTAAGCCTAGACATCAACCTATGGAATTGACGTTAATTACACCATATTAGGACAATTAATGTCATTGATTTATTTCCGGTTTGACACCTAGAATGCCGAAATAGGTTTTATGATTTTATTCATTGTTCAATTGACAACTATAACAACCCTAAAAGTTGAATTGCAAGATAAATGACTTCAAATAAACAAACAAATGTCCGGGCCTTCTACCTAAACTTTTAGATCAAGCTTTTACAAGCATCGCATTTCCAATTTTTATTAACAATAAATGCTAATTAAGGCTCGATTTGATATAGTTTTCAACCAATTGCCCCTACTTTCTTGAACAGTAAAAACAATTTTAGGATGTCCGGGAGAAAAGCCATAGCAAAAATAAATAAATAAATAAAAATCAAACTGTATTATTTAGGAATCTTAATAGAAAAATGCTTTGATGAACATTTAATCGATTTTCTAAAACAATACATTATCCGGTTATAGAAAAATCATGTCAAGTTCATAATAAGATTCATTTCAGCTATAAATGAAATTATATTAGTGCTACGACAATTTCTTATCAAACAGTCATATAAATGATCTTGACTTCACAGAACAATATCCAACCCAGCCTAACACAAGACAAGATGACAGAAATAGCCTAAAACTTACTCAATCCGATGATAGTACCAACCAAAACTTCAAATATAATCTCCAGAGTACATCTACGTTTAAATAAACTTAAACTCTCTTTTTACCATACATCCAACCTTAAAAACAGTTCATTTGTAATAAATGAAGCCAACCAACCTCAAACACTGGTGCTGCAGTTGGACTCATATCAACAAAAATAGCAACTTTTCCTTTGTCTGGCCGTAGAGGAACAGGCTTCCCAAGTTCGGCCTGCATGACAAGGCATTGCAAACATTCATAGAATCTAATCAAAGTAAAAAATAAATATATAAATTTGTATCCACATAAACCAAGTTCAAATTTGAACCAACTGAAAGCACGACTAGCAAAAACAAGAGAATTCAGATGGCAAGGTCATTTCATGGAGAAGCCCAGATTTAAAATAAAGAGAGTAACAGTTTGTCAAGTAACACTTTGAGGGAGAAAATATAACAGTTTACCTATAAGTTCGATTAAAAGGGCTTTTTTTCTTCCATCATATCGAACGAAACAATGGAATGATTGAAAAGTACAGTTCAACCAAAGATACTACTTTCAAACATAGATTCTTCAGCCAGAGCACTAGTTGTACAGCAGTAACATCGTTACCTTAATGCTAACTATGACATCAGTCGCACCCAATGTAACCCGTGCAGAACCAGTAGCCTATCATAAAACCCACAAAAGAAATTATGTGGGCAGAGAAAAAATCAACAGACACTAAATATAGGAAGAAAACATCAAATAATGCTACTTTTATGCAAAGGAAACCGGTTTTCATCACTGATTATTGAGAATTTTCCAGCAAAAATTAGGAGCATAAGCTCATTAAAACCTGTGGAATAACATCAGTTTGAACAGAAATAGGTCTGAACTGCAGACGCTGCCGGCCGTCCGAACGAAGATCTTGTGCAATCCCCCCAAGTATAAACTGTTTCTCTCCTACTGATAGACCCACCATACCTTCAAGTTTTAACACAAAGGCGGCTGAAAGATCCAATGTAAAGGATAAAATCAAGATGATTTAATTTAAAATAAAATAAAATAAATCAAATTTTTAGGTGAAATGATTCACATTTTGTACCGCTTTATATAAAGTGGAACTAAGAGCATTAAGAAACTAGGATAATGGTTTCAAACCTTCCTCTCAAAAGAGAAAGTTGTTAAGGCGGGATACATAGAAGTGTTTACCTCATGTGATATTATGAGGACCCAAGGCGCCCAGCGGTGTCTTCCCACCGCGAGGGTTTGGTGACAAAGACGATGATTTTGGAGAAACAGGGAGTAGGAGAGTGACGTAGGGGAGGGTTTCAGGAAGAGAGCGCAGGATGTTGGCCTTGGTTCGGTTAGTTTTATTAATATCATAGATTAAAAATTAAAAATTAATAGTACTCAGTTTAACTCTAATTAAATATATTTATACTTATTATTTAATTGTCAATTAATAGCAAATGCATATTAAATTTTATTTATTCAATAAAATTATAAGTAATTACTAATTAATATAATTAATAATTACTCAATCATTACTTTATAGGTTTCAAACAATTATTTAATAAATAATTAATTTATAAAATTTAATAACTAATTACTTTTGTGAATATATAATTATTAAAAATCATGATTTTAAATAAATTTTTAATTTAACTTTATTTAGTTATTAATTTTTATCATGATCAAAGTTTAATCATACTTCCTTATCCTAACAAATATTACAATTTTCTAAGGGCCCGGTTCAGGCGGACTAAAATCTCAAGCAACATTTTCAAAACTCCACTGTCCCGTTTGATAAAAGTTTTGAGAAACGACGGTTTTGATTGTTTAATAAACGCAACCTCGGGATCGATTCTGTGGCCCCCGTTCGTCGCTCGTCTTTTACCCCACTATGCTCGGGTCTCATTTGCCCTCAACCCAAGCCCTAGTGTCAATCTTGCCTCCCTCGCTCTCGCCTCTCTCCAATAGCGTTGTTCGCTCTCAAGAGCAGCAACATTGTTCAGCTAGGAGCAATATCAGGAATGAGAGGAATGGGTTGCTTATATATATATATATATATATATATATATATATATCAACAATAAAGCCTTAATCCCACTAAATGGAGTTAGCTACAAGAATTATTTTTCTCCATTGAGTCTTATTTAGTGTCATATTTTCATTTAGTTCTAATAAATTAAGATCTTTTTTTATACAATAAGCCCAAGTCTTCTTAGGCTTACCTCTGCCGAATCTAAAACATCTACTCTGATCATCGGATGGTCGATGTTTAATGTGACCAAACCATCTAAGACGACTCTCTCTAATTTTGTCCGTCATTGGAGCTAAACCAACCCTATCACAGATATATTTATTTCGCATTTTGTCTCTAAGTGTAAAGCCACTCATCCACCTAATCATTCTCATCTCGGCAACACTTAGTAGTATGCTTCTCTTTTAAAGACCAACTTACAGCGCCATAGAGCATTGCAGGTCTCACCACCCTCTTATAAAATTTTCCTTTCAATCTGAGTGGTACTTTTCTATCACACAAAAGGCCTGAAGCATTCCTACACTTCAACCAACCAACTTGAATTCTACTATTAACATCCCCATCTAGCTCACCATCGCTTTGAACAACATACCCAAAATATTTAAATCATTCACACCTTTTAATAATTTGATCACCCAAAGTTACACTTCTGTCACTAGAGCTAATACCATTAAAATTACATTCCATGTATTCAGTTTTAGTTCTACTCAAATGAAGGCTTTTAAACTCCAATGTAGACCTCCATAATTCAAGTTTTTCCTGGGCTTTTTCTCTCATCTTATCCATGAAAAGGATATCATTAGCAAAAAAAACATACACCAAGGTACATCCTCCTGTAAATGTCTAATAAGACTATCCATAACTAAAGCAAGATGATATGGACTTAAAGCCTTTCTTGATGTAATTCAACATAACTAGGAAAATATTTGGTCAATCTTCCTTCAGTTTGAACGCAAGTAACTGCTCTACTATACATGTCTTTAATGACTTCAATATAAGTCATATCAACACCTATCTTCTCAAGAACTCTCCAAAGGATATCTCTTGGAACATTATTGTAAGCTTTTTTCAAAATCAATAAAAATTAAAAGCAGATCCTCTTTATTATCTCTAAACTTCTTCATCAATCCTCTCAATAAATGTATAGCTTCCATAGTAGACCTGCCAGACATAAATTCAAATTGATTATGAGAAATCTTTGTAATACGTCTTAACCCTTGCCCCTAAATGTTCATTACGAAACCATAATTTTAATGTATGACACATCAACTTAATTCCTCTATAATTTGCACACTCTTGTGCATCCCATTTATTCTTAAAATGAGGACCAAAATGCTCTTCCTCCACTCCTAAGATATCTTTTTAGTTTTGAAAATAATATTAAAGAGTTTAGTAAGCCAAGAAACTCTCAATTCTCCTAAATATTTCCGCACTTCAATTAGGATAGCATCTGGTCCTACAGACTTTCCACCATTGATTTTCTTTAAAGCCTCTTCAACCTCTTTTTTACTAATGCGACGGTAAAAATGAAATGTTTTATTATTATTAACAATATTAAGATCACTGAGGTCGATCTTATTTTCAAAAACTTCATTAAAAAGTTTATCAAAATAACTTATCCTCCTATGTTGAATATCTTTTTCCAAGAAAAACACTTTTTGATTTTCATCTTTAATACACTTTGTTTGAGTTAAATCTTTTCTGGGATGTTAAACCAAAATTAATTAGATGAATTCTTCTATATACATATATTTTTCACCATTTATACATATATTTTTCACCATTCTTTGTATCTAATCTATTATAAAGATCACTAAAAGCTGAATTTTTAGCGTCAGAGATTGTTTTTTTTAGAGTCCCTATGGGCAGTTTGATATTTTTTCGAGCTCGTTAAGTTTTTACATTTAAATTAATTTTTATAATATAACTACTTATATTTTATCTTTTCTTGCACATTATTATTCGACCACCAACTATTTTATTTGTAGAAAATTTTCCTTTTAATTCTCCAAGTACATTTTTTGCTACTTGTTTAATTGTGTTTGTAACTTTATCCCACATAGCATTTGCTTCTTCACGAACATCCCAAAATTTGAAATCTTGAATTTTACTCATAAAAATAATTTTATTTGTGTTTTAGTGGTTCCCCCATCTAATTCTATGATGATGAGTCATAATATTTTTTATTTTACAACTTTTCATTGATATTGAGTACTTAAATTCTCACTTGGAATGACCTTACAATCTTTACAATCTCGACAATCTTTTCTTCTCTTAAGAAAACAATCAATTTGTGTTTTATTAGATCCATTCTTATAAGTAATAAGTTGCTCATCTCTTTTCTTGAATAAAGTATTAGTAATAACAAAATCATATGCTAAAACAAAATCTAAAATGAATATACCTTCTTCATTAGTAACTCCAAATCCATAGCCACCATAAATATTTCTTAAATCTTCTACCACTCTACTGACATGTCCATTTAAATCACCTCCAATAAAATTCTTTCTTCAAGAGGTATCATTTGTATTAAGTATTCTAAGTCATTCCAGAATTTATCTTTAGCCCTTATATCTAAATCTACTTGATGTGCATAAACACTTATAATATTAAAAAATTTAGTATTAAAAATAATCTTAAGGGATATAATTCTATCTCCAACTCTATTAATCCAACTCTATTAATTTTACTATTAATTTTAACAACATTATCTTTCACTCTTATCTATAATTACACATACACAATTTCTAGTTCGACTCTTACCAAAATACCAATGTTTACAACTTAAATTATCAATCTCCTTAGCCATTTCTCCAATCCATTTAGTTTCTTAAGTACATAAGATATTAATCTTTCTGTAATCTTTTTATGAATCATAATATCAACTAATTCCTTTAATTTACCATTGTGAGTACCTATATTCCACGATCATTTCCTAATATTAGTTTCATTAGTTTTATGGACTAACTTTTTTACTTGTATTCGTCCGTAATGTGGGAACTCTTATTTATTTGACATTACACCCCGACGTTGGTGTAGCGACCCTTGTACACTTTTCACTATGTTCAGACCATACAATGCGTCGCTTCCAAGGGACGCCCTAACACTTACACAATGATCAAAAGGATTCATGTCATGGTTTTTTTTCAACAAGTTTTATGCTGGTTGTCGACTACCTAACACAACCCTTCACTTTTTACATCTGAGCTTGGGACCGACAATGACAGTGTTATATATATATATATGTATATATATATATATATAGAGAGAGAGAGAGAGAGACACACACACACACACAAAAATACACACACACAAAATATGATATACAAATAATATAAATAACTTCCTTATAATTAAATCTCAGCCCCTTAAATTAAATCTAGTCACTATATGCCACATTTTCTGAAATATATTTTTGGAGCCACAATACCACTACAGTATTTTGCAGCAATACCACAACAACAGTAACATGCTGCAATGATTTTAATAAAACATTAAAAAACTTATTATGTGGTGTATGTATCTTATTGTTATGTGAAGTATGTATTTTATTTTTTGTATTGTTCTAAAACAATTTTTGCTTCCGAAGTATTAAATATATTGCTATTACAGTTCTGTTGCAAACAACATTACTGCAAAAGGGTCTGACTGGTCACTTATCCGCAATCAGCTGCAAATCAGCTATTTTCCAACAATATAAACCAAGCAACCAATAAGTTTATTCAGATCAGTTGTTGATCAACAACTTATCTGAATCAATTGTTCATCAACAGATTATCAATAAGGTGCAACTGCTTCAAACATATCATAAATCCTTAAATAAGTTGTCGAAATGTTTGACAGGATTCAATTAAATTTATTAAATTCGTTCTGAGACTGTTTCTCGGATTTAACCACCTAGGATTTACTAAATTTGGATTTTCAAAATTTAAAAAATCCAGTCAAGTTAAATATCATATGTTACCACAGAACCCCTTAAGAATCAAATTTATTGAATATAAAGTTAGTTAAAATGTTAAATTATTTTGCATGATAGAATTTTTATGATTTTTAATGATTTTTTATTAAATATTTGAGAATTTAAGTTGATTTACTCAAATAGCATTTTAATAATATTATTGACAATTAATTTAATATATCAGGTTATTTAATTTAACAGATTTAACATAATAAAACTTAATCATAAATACAAATACTTAAATATTTACTAAAACTAGTATGCATCTTAAATGATAATTAAATGTAAGATAACATCCAAGTTAATTGTTAGTAGTCATTTATAAATAAATAAACATAATAAATTGTATTTTGTTAAATTAAACAATAAATAATAACAATTTATTTAAGTTTAAATTTTCAATAAATTAGCGTTAATCATTAAAAATAATTGCTTATTATAATAGCACGCCTTCTTCAATTGATATGCATTAATATTAAAAGTATTTAATATAATAAACTATTAAATTTATTAGATTTAGTAACTTAAACATAATTAAAATTAATCACAAAACTTTTCAATTAAAAAATTAGTAAAATTATTAAATAACTTGAACATAATTAGTATAAGACGACATTCAAATTAATTATGAACCTACATTTTATAAAACAAGCTAAACGTAATAATGTGTAGTTATTATTTTTTATGAGCAAATGTTAATTAATAAACTTAATTATAAATTAAATTATCCTCTTCATAAGCATTACTTTTCTTTTATTTCTACCCAATTTACTAAAATCCTTTTATGATCTCCTATTTGCTCCTACGCAATTTATCAAAATCATCTTGTCTCTACTTATCTTCAATAAAATATAATGGGAGGAATTTATGACTAAATCGCGCTACAAAAGTCATTAAAGAGATACTAGCCTGCAAGAAAGTACTTGACGAATGAAGATAACCCTACCAACCTAGTTATTCCTCCCACTTTTCTTGGATTTCAACTTATATAAATAGCATGAATTCATACGGTCTCCATCTATATCGTCCATTACAGCAATTTAAAGAAAATAAATTCAAAATAGAACCCACTGTTATGCATCTATATAATAATTTTTGGGCTAACAAAGACCGAAACTCCCATTTTTTCCTCCTGCTACTCTCCTACCCGAGAAAAAATATTAGATCAGGACTCCTTGTTATTCAAGGGAACATTCTCTGTAACACAGTGAAATATTTCCCGTGTTATTCAGGTATTATTGTATATGTTATTCAGGTATTACTGTATATTATTCATGTATTATTGTGTTCTAAAAATATTCCTGATGTTATAATAACACAATAACACATCAATAACACTTGAATAACACATAATAATACTGAATAATATGAGAGGAATATTCTCGTATCACATGGCCGATTTTTTTTTTCTCACATGTGTGATGTAATTTTATTGGACTCGGTACGTGTGAAGTACTGATGTAATCCGAGGCTTAATTTTGTCAAATCCGAGGCTTAATTTTGTCACGTGTGAAGTACTGATTTATCAAATCCGAGGCTTAATTTTGTCCCAAATGGCCGTCCGGCAAGTTCCAGCTTAAATCCTGTTCTAAATCCCTTACCAGACAGGCCCTAAATGCCAGATTTCCTGTTAGGGTTTTTGCCGTTTTGCAGGATTTAGCTGGAAAACCCTTGCCAGATCTTTCCCCATGCCTACATCTCTCCACCAAAGGCAGCAACAGCAAAAGCCTTCAGGCGACGCATTTCCCCTTTCCCCTCGCTCCTCCTCCCTCAACTATGCCTTCCATCACCGCACATACTCCCTCTTCGGCCGCTCCGGCCTCCTCCTCCTCCTACTCTCCCTCATTCTCCTCTTCTGCGTTTTCATCCCCTTAATTCGCCCCATCACGCCCTTCCTCTTCTCCTCCCCCTCCTCCCTCTCCTACTGGCGAGATTACACCCTAGCTCAAGCCGTGACCTTCGTTGGCGGAAAGAACGGCACCATCATCGTTTGCGCGGTGAGCCAACCCTACCTCCCCTTCCTCCAAAACTGGCTTATCAGCATCTCCAGACAGAATCATCAGGATGAAGTCCTCATCATTGCCGAGGACTACGCCACACTGTACACGGTCAACCAGAGGTGGCCTGGTCACGCCGTCCTCGTCCCTCCCGTTCCTGATTCCCGCATCGCCCATAAATTCGGATCCCAGGTTCGGTTTCGACCAACATGGAATCCTAGACCTCGTTTTTCTTCCTTTTTCTTATGGTTCTTCTGGTTCTAAACAGGGTTTCTTCAATTTCACATCTCGGAGGCCTAGGCATCTTCTTGATATCTTGGAGCTAGGCTATAATGTGATGTATAACGATGTGGATATGGTTTGGCTTTCTGATCCTTTCCCTTATCTGGAAGGGCACCATGACATTTACTTCACCGATGATATGGCTGTTGTAAGTTCTTCATTTTCTTATGTGGTATCAGTAATGAGGAAAGTGCTAATTTTTCTTAATTTTTGTAATTAAAAGGTGAAGCCCTTGAATCATTCTCATGGCTTGCCGCAACCTGGGAAGAAAGGAAGAACATACATTTGTAGCTGCATGATCTTTCTTCGTCCTACAGATGGAGCAAAAGCTGTGTTGAGGAAATGGATTGAAGAGCTTCGACTTCAGCCGTGGTCTAAAAAGAGCAGGTCGAATGACCAGCCTGCTTTTAACTGGGCTCTGAACAAAACTTCTTTCCAGGTATCTAAGTTGGTGCCATTGTTTCAATATTTCTGTAGAATTTGATGTATAAGTAGATGGTTATGTGTGTTGGTGATAATCCTGTGTTATTTATGATAAACATACCACACACACCTTATCTGTTTGCATATCTAACACTTATACTTTCATATTTGCATGCATAATACTCGAATCTTTAATATTGCATACACGCCACTATGACTAACTTTTAAAAATTGAAATACACCGTTTCGATCGTAGTGTATTGACATCGGGGTTACATAAGTAAATCCATGAGAATTATGCAGTATATTTATGTAAATATAAAGTGGGCATGCAGAGATATTAGCTTATACTAGGTATTGCACTGAACTTGAATGTTGACTTAAAGTTTATGTGAGGGGCCCTAACCCTCTTGCTTTTGAGATAAGCCCATCGAGATCCAACCCCCTTGATGAATCCTTGTAGGTGGATCTCTATTTGTTGCCTCAGTTTGCTTTCCCATCAGGAGGGTTGTACTTCAAAAATGAGACATGGGTCAAGGCAACTCAAGGGAAGCATGTGATCATTCACAACAACTATATTACTGGCTTCGATAAGAAGATTAAACGTTTTCATGATTACGGACTCTGGTTGGTGGATAATTATGCTCATGTGTCGCCGCTTGGGCGAATATAAGCAAAAGATGAATATTTGGCCTAATTCTTTTGTAAAACAAAGCTGTGAATTTCTTTTTTGCAAGTTAAGGAGCATTAGATCTTAGCTTGAAGAAGAAAAGTTGTCAATTTGTTTTGGCAAGCAATGCTTCCAAGGAAAGATGTTTTTGTAGGTTACTTAAAATATGTGGAACTCAATATTTATCTGTGAATTTCTTGTGCACATATAACTGTGGGCTTACTCATATGACTTAAATTCTATTGTTTTCCATTTTTTTATTTCTCTTTAAGGCGCATTTGGTTGTTTGCAATTATAAATCATGATTTTGAAAATGATAATTTTATTTTCATTCATGTGACGATGAAATCATTAGTTTTGATGGACCATTGAGAAGTTTTGTTGGAATTAAAATTAATATTGCTGTTTATTATTCTAAATGATAAATTGAACAAATTTCATTGTTTTTCAAAAAGCTGTTCTTCTTTACTTTATTTATATTTTAATATATTATAAAAGGTGCATTTTAGGAAAGTAATTAAGGTTTTACAAGTTGAGAAGTTGCATTTGAATTAAAATAATCATTGTTGTGTGACTCCATCTATAATTTTTTTTATCAATTTTATGAGATGTAGTGTATCTAAATGGATTGTCTACTGATTCTCCTAAAGTCAAAGTGTAATGATTAGTAGAACTACATGTTGGGCGTGTTGCTGGAAATTTTATTAGTATTAAGACAATTGCAATCATTGATAATAATTTTTTTTTTGTCAAGTTTTAGAAGTATGTGACACATATTGCTTTACATTTTAGGTTTTGTTAATATGCTAAAAGTAGAAATAAGAATTTAGTTTCCATAGAAATCATATAGGTGGCTGTTACAATGAACTTCTTATTATAAACATGATAATGAGAGGAGAGCATATTGTAGATAAAACAGGCACAAAATAGACTCATGCAATATGTGCGTACAATGGCAGCGGAGGGTAGAATAAGTGGAAGGAATAAAGAAGAAAAAAAGAAGTGATCTACAACAAAATCATGCCAGATCACTTGAGCAAAGTAGCATTAAATAAGATTTATTATTGAGGAAGTGTAAATATGATTCAATATAGTTGGTATGCGTAGGTGTAAAAACATGTTCAATTGAGCTAGGGTCACCCCTTCTTGAGCTTCAATTGATGTGGTTAATCAAGCTCGAGCTTACTATAATGAGTTAAAAAAAATTGAGAAAGAAAATGAGTTAAAGAAAAGTGATATTGTCTAAAAGTTCTTTTTAATGAGCTGGCTCACGAGCTAACAACGTTATTAAAGATTAGTTCGGCTTGCTAGCTCATCAAGTTTGGCTAAAGAGTCAATTATCAAGTCTGGCCAAACTCAAATGCCCCTCTAAGGAAGAGGCTAATGATGTTGATTTTGTAAAATAAAATTCCTCTAAAAAGAATCATACCTATCTGAAGTAACACCAAGATCACTGTCATCAATGATACCTCAAAGAAATGAAAATGATCTGCAAATACATAAAATAATCAAGATAAATTAATCTAAATACTTTTATTTATAGAAGTACATTGAATACACTTAAAATTAAGTATAAAAAAAGCTTATTTCGCTTACCTGCCAAATTGAACGCGGATGTCTAAACACTTGCATTTCTATAATTAGTGCATAAGTTCATGAATATTCAAGCTTTACAAATAATTCTAAGGTGCGAGACTTGCACAAGATAAGCGCAAACAAAAAGTTTGTTAAATCGGTTAAACAATAATCTATATAAACTAGTAGCAAGAAGCATGTGATATAAGGAGTTTGAACTTCATGAAATCATCAGTTATTCCTACAGAACCAATATCAACTTCATGTAATAATATATGTGCCCTTCACGCATCTTCACCTCCACATCTTCAATACTTCAACCAATATTCTTATGATAAACCCATATAAGGCTGAAGTTGTGTGTATCATAGCAGGCTGAGACTTCCAATGTCGACAAATTCAATATCAAAATTTAAAATAAAAAAAAAATGATTTCAAATGATCACTCCATGAATCTTATGAGATCGTCCAGTCTAGTCACTGCCTCTAACTTCACCGGATCCCCGTCATCAAGTAGAGAAGCAGCATCTTTACAATCAACACAAAAGTGCAAACCTGCAAGAACACAGAAGTTTCATATTTTAACTGCATTGATGAAACCTTCCAGGTTCTCCACCAGTCATGTGGAAATTAAAAACACTTCTTTTCATAAAAATTAAATCTCAATCTATCTGATAGACTTCACAAGAGAAACCCAACCTCCACTCCCGTACTGGTTTGAAATGCTACAAAAGAATTCCTATCCCGAGGGACACAATCCCTACCTGCAGAATTCAGCAACTTTCGGAGCTCCCCAACAACCATCACTGGTGATTTCAAATCTGTCCAGCATAATTAAAATTATGAAAACCAAGCCAATAAAGCTTTGTTTGGTTTGAAGGAATTACAATAAAGGAAATGAAAACTAAATGATAATAACAATGATAAAGAGATTGGATTGAAAGTTATTTTCCCCACACCAACTTGGTTGAGAAGAATACGATTGCACACGAGTGCACGGTATATTTTGTTGAGAAAATTAGGGCGAAGAAAAACTAGAACGACACAAATCCAGAAGAACACAGAGATTTAACGAGGTTCGGCGAAGATACCTACGTCATCGGGAGCAGAGCGGCAAGTTCCTTTCAATATTCAGAAAAGAGGTTACAGAATAGAGGGATGCCTCTTGGGGTTACTAACAGACCTATTTATAACCCCAGGAGTAAACCTAGGCACAACATGTAATTACAACATTACCCCTGTACCATACCGCGGGGCTTTGCCCCCGCACCCCAACCCACGTAACTTCCCAATTTGGACAGATCTTTCGCTCCGCTCCGCTTTGATCCAGCGTCTGTCCCAATATGGTATATGAGCCATACCATAACAAATCTCCACCTTAGCGAATATCTAGCCCCTTAGGAGAAAAAAAATACCTGGGAGTTACATCTGCACCACCGTGGGTTGGGTCACCATGCTTCTCTAGCAACTGCAAACATTTAACAAGTCCAAACAATGCAAGAACTTGTTGATAGTAACTGACTTGATCAACATATCAGCTGCATTCTCATCAGTATGAACCTTCTGCAACAGTATCTCCCCAGAAGCAATCAACTCTCTGATCTTGTGATACCTGACATCAATGTGCTTGGTTCTCGCATGGTACACCTGGTTCTTAGCCAGATAAATAGCACT